TCAATGCACAACCCTGTGCTAGTCCCGAAAAAGGACGGAAGTTGGCCGATATGCGTTTTGATCCAAGCCTTCGAACGAGGATATTGTGAAGCAGAACTTCCTAATGCCTGACAAGCGCGAAACACCTAGCAGATTACACAGATCACGAGTCTGCTCGACATTTGACTCCACAGGCGCCTCCTTGCAAATCCCCTTTCACCCTGATAAGGCGCACAAAAGGCGTATTACACTCGCACTCGCAAAATTGAGTATTTCTGTATGCCGTTTGGCTATATTAATGCCCCAGCTGAGCCGTAGCAGTACATTAGTGAATATTTTAGTAAGGCTTTTGAGGAGGGATGGGGGACTGTGTACGTAGGCACCATCTCCCTGCAGAGCCAATCGATTTAAGAGGACCCACATGAGCTACAGAGTGTGTTTGGGCTGCTGCGGAGTATGCAGTGGTATATGAAGGCGCTCACGTCTTTCTTCTTATTTAAAGACAGTTTTTGAGTTTGTTGGTCGGCTGGAACATACAATGAACTGGATCTGGCGAAAATTGAAGCAATCGAAGCGATACCTTCCCCCTTGCGCACCCACAAGAAAGTCGCCAAATTCGATGCGCTTGCGTCTTATCGCCAAAGTTTTAGTCCTGGTTCTGCTAGGATCGCTGCTCCTTTGACTTAGAAATCGCAGTCAATGACCTCAATAGAAGATGCTGACGCCGCAGCAAGAAGCCTAGGGGCCACCTTAGAACTCTTCGTGTACTTGTGTTGTCTGAGTATGAGCATCACTCCTCATTTCCAACTGACGCCAGTGATGCGGCGGTTGACGCTAATATCTCCCAAGAGGCAATGAGCTGTCCATCACAAAAAACTATTGTTTGCTCTTATAGTCGCGTCGCCGAGACCGAGAAGCGGTATTGAGTGCGGGAAATTAGACCCTATGCGATTTGGTAGGGCGTGGGAAACGGGCACAATTCGTGTGGGCGTCGGTTGTACCATCATGAAGTTTTCTACTCCCCACGAAAACTTTATATGGATTTTGATAGCTATGAAGCTATCACGTCATCATCGGCTTGCAACCTGGCCTCTGCCGACTAATAAAGCGCTACTCTGCCGTACACTTTCATTGCCAGAAGGATTTCCAACGGACTATTCTCAACGAAAGTCAAGCTATTGAATTTCCGCATGGATTGTTCAAAGCCGAACACCGGTTGTAGAAACCCCAAAATCCTACTGCATTCACAGCCAGCGAGCAAGACAGAGCTGCATCAAAGCACGCAGTTCTACCGACTGTAACGTCCATCTGAGGTCTCTAAGCAAAGGTACTTAACTTCAGGCCGAACACAAGCTACGTATAGTTGTACAGCTGCTTTAGAAGCGCTCCCTCCTTCTCCTCGCTGTCCCAGCCAGGCTGCAAAGCCAGGAGAGTGGGACAGTTGGGGGGAGCGTCACTGCACTCCTAACCAAACCGAGCATTCATAGCTACTTGCGTACAACACTAAGTGAGAACGCAAAGGCACTGCGTCTTCTTGCACTAAGCCATCGGTGCCATGAATTATTTCAGTAGTGAATCGACTTGCAGGTTCGTTCGTTTGTAGTTCTTAGACAAAGTATAAGCATCGTCGTAGAAGTTGCCCAAGCCTTGTATAGCGCACTACAGTACTGGGTCCCTCCTTGCACGTGCAGCGCGAGTAGGAGCTGCTTGCGGTGGTAGAAGTATATGCTGTGGTTATACATAAGGCAGCTGTAGGCGTTGCCGTTCTGCCGTGGCATAGCAACATCAGCAATAGCAGCAACAATAGCAACATTGATGCGAAGAGCAGCAACAGCAGCAGCAGAGGATGGCAGGTTACTCTAATAGAAGATGGCCATAGCGGCCTCTCGGTAAATTAGCCTCTTTAATTCTACTCGAAAATGCCAAACTCTTCCATATGTCAAAGAGGAGGCCTGGAGTTTCACAGATGTGGGGCGCGCAGGGGCCCGGTCCCACCGGCACAACTTTTGTCGCATCTTCCGTTTCTCAGTGAAAGCAGCAGCAACGGTTGAGACGATATTCTTAATATATTCAGATGAAGTAGAGTGCTGAAAAATCTTATTGGGGGCTTCCTGTCTTCGAAAGTCCATAAGGGCTATCTCGGGACTCATGCTTTCACATCGAGAGGAACAAGATTCGGAGCAGCAGGAATCCCCTGCTGCTGCTGCTCCGAGTCTTCCAGCAGCATATGTAAGTAAAACTATGGACAAAGAGGCCATGGTGAGCCAAGTCATAAATCCCAAGGCCACTGCATGCTTTGACGGAGCAGCAGCCAACACTGCAACAGTGGAAGTGGGAGCACAACATGAAAAGCCACAGGCCCTGCAACCCACAGAGCCAGCAGAGCCTGAGGCAGCAATAATATCAGCAGTATCATCATCAGCATCCACTGCACAGCCGGTGCCTCAACAGCCCCCTAGTACAGTGGCTATGGAAACAGCTGCAAGTCTACCAAATGAAACTACCGTAGCTACAGAAGCGGTGCCTGCCAAGGTAGACTCAGCAGCATTCTCAGCTCCATGCAGTTCGATCAACAGCAACAACATGTGGAAGGAGGCTCTGGAGCGTGAGATTGTTATCGACGGGGAAACCGAAATGGATGACTTTATTGTTGCAGCACATGTCGCTCAGGTGCGTAGCACCTCCGTTTGCCCATGAAGCATACACTTGGAGCCTCATTTGTTCCTGCTTCTGCCAGTGTTGTTGTCTGAACTGATTTTCTGTCATGGGCTATAGCTGTCGCTGTATCCTGTTCCGCCTGCACGACATTCACTGTGGTAATGTGTACTGTCTGTCTGTGCGACTGTGGCTGCTGAAACTGGCGGTAACCTCTGTCATTTTGCGATTGTTTCAGGCTGACACGTTGATGCTGCAGAAGCTGAAGCTCGCTGAACCCTTTCCTCCCAAATTGCGTAACCGAGCTCCCGCTGCGGCTGCCAGACAGGAGGGAGGAGGCAGCAGCAGTAGCGAGAGCAGTGACAGCGAGGGTGAGATTCCAGCAGCATCTCGGGCTGGTCTGGCAGCGTCAGGGGAACTGGAGCGGCAGCGGCGGATACTGAACGAGTGGGAAGCTACGCAGGGGCAAGACGCAGAAGCAACAGCATCAGGAGGAAGGGAAGGAACAGCAGCAGCAGATGTGGTTGACGGGGATTATTGCAGCGATGAGGAAGGAGCAGGTAAAACGGCTAAAGAAGACTTGCGTTCCCTTATCCAGGTAAGAAGGCCCTGTAGACGCTCCTACTGCCTTGTGGTTTGTTGCTGCCGCCGCTTCCACTCTGCCTGGAGCCTCATTTTCTGTTGTCGCTCTGGCTGGGCTCTGAGCTGCTGCCTCTGCTACTGGGGCGACAGTTGGACCCTTTGCGCATGCTACAGCCGCTCGTGATGCCGTCCGTCTCATTGCGCTCATGCCCTTGCCATTACTACGTTCGTATCGTGCCATACTCAGTGGGGAGCCTGTCTTCGTCGCTGATGTTTTGCTTCCGCAGCCAATCGAGGTCGCAGGTTTGCCCGAGCGCGTGCCCGATGGCGCTGAGTTACAAGCGTGTGGGAGCATCGAATCCGTCATAGGAGATGTTATCTGCATTAAGGCCAACCTCGTAAGGCTGCACACTGGCGGAGGCGCAGATGGGCTACCCCCGAAGAAAACACCCTGCACTGGGCAGGCCGTTGAGATATTTCTGTTGGCTATTCACGAGGCCGCCACTCCACCCCTATGCACATTGGCCTCTTGCTTGTGTTTTCTGAGAAACCTGCATCTCAGGGTGCTAACCCCATGGATTTGGGGTCGGTTGTTTGCCTCGAAGATCGGCGAATTCTTGGCGTGGTAAGACCTATCCTCTAGGATATACGTCGATGAATAGCTAGCTTCCCTGACGGTTAGCAGACCAAGCATAAACACTGCTGGCTTGCGTAGCTAGGCGGCTAAAGACCACGAAGCAGGTGGAGGGCTTTATGGATCTTGCGCTCTCTGCCGCTGCCCGTGTATATGCCCACTGCGATTCCTTCACTTCGAACGCTTCTCCATTAGCCTAATAGCTGGTCAACTATGGACCTGCATGTATGTGCAGTTCTGCTCTGCAGGTAGCAGACACATTCGGGCCTACTTCTTCACCCTTCTACGTGGTGTACATACAGCCGAGCGCCCTTGCTGCAGCACGGGATACCGTGAAGCCGGTGTGTGTTTCAGTACGATGGTCCGGTAGTTGCTCTGTCTTGAAGAATGCTGGAAAATGAAAGTATGACCAGCAGCGTTGTTCGACGAAGGCGGTGGCAAGTCTCTCTCTGACATGTCTCATTTTGCTGCTTTTGACGCAGGGTGCAGGCGTCTTGTGTGATTTGGAGCACGCCTCCTTCTTGATGGATCAGCATGGGAAAGCCCTTGACTACCTGCACACCAGGTATGCCGTTACAAGAGTGTATAAACTAGCAGGAGTAGCTGCTTGTGCGGCGGGAGCTGCTACTTAGGGCCCCTCTGGGCACTGCTTTGCTGTTGTCTTTTGCGCAGCACTGCTCCGTACTGCGGCCGCCCCGAAGGAGAAGGTGACGGCTATGATTCTGATGACAACCTTCACGAGCAACAGCAGCCACAGCCGCAGCCGCAGCCACAGCGCAAGGGGCAACGACGAGCAGCGCAGCAGCCGCTTTCCAGCGTCGCAAGTCAACCCGTTAAGCAGCAGCAGCAGCGGAGAAACCGACAAGGGCCATTAAACAGGGGAGGAACATGGCAGGAGCAATCGGGCAGCGGCTTGCGAGCATCCTCGCCAGTATATACGCAGCATGCACAGAGTTCCCTGAAGCAGCAGCACCCTAGTATCCCCCCGCCACCTCCTCAGCCAACCCACGGGATCCACATGCAGCAGCAAGAGCAGGTTCCAAACCAGCAGCCGCATTCACGGTATGCGCCGCAGCAACTGTCTCAATACAGCCAGCAGCCAAACTATCCACCACGACCACAGGTGCAATATATCACGCACCAGCATGAAGCCTTCACGCCACAGCATCAGCCATACGGGCAGCACCAGCCCCATCAACAGTAATTGCAGCCTCCCGCGGTTGGCTGGCAGTAGCAACTTTTGCGTGGGGGAGAGCAAAAGCGATAAGAGGCATACTGCGCAAGACTTGCTTTTTTTGAGTACCAAAGCTATTACGGCCCTGATTTCTTCAGATGCAGAGCCTGCTTACAAGAATGCAGCGGCTTGCAGCAACAATCAGAACAATGTAGCTGTTCTTGGTGCCCTCCAATCCTCGGAACGCTGCCTCCTGCTTGAACAATAACAGGCGAATCTAGCTAGTTGACTCTTGCTTTGTAGCCACCAAGCCAAACTGCTGTGTTGGAGCTACGCAAGGATTCGGGTTAGAGGCCATCGATGCTGGACTATGGGGCAGCGCCTTGTCGAGACTCTTTACGAGCAACGAATCGCGGCAAGGTCAATACAAAACTTATTAAAACGCCATTCAGTGCTAAACAAATCCCCTTCAAAGGACTCGGTAGGGGAATAGCTGCCAGTAGACTAAATCCAAGCTTCGTAGAAAGATACTGGAAGCTTTGGAAAAGGAAATCACTCCATTCACTGACCACGCCGCTCAGGGTGCCATTAACGGAGAGGGGCAGCTAAGGCGCATGTCACTATACCCTTTAGACAGACTGTTGATGTATGGCCAGTTGCACGTAGCATTTAACGCACACGCACACAACATTGCGTCTTCTTGTCTCAAGTTATCCCTGGAATGAAAAGTACATACGAGCAGACATATCCACATGCCAACTAATTACGCTTTTATTTAATGTAATTAGTGTAAGAGAATGTACCTGGGCGGAACATCGCCCGCTACCCCCGCAGCGCTTAAAGGGTGAAGCGATAAGCGAACCCTGCCCGTCCGTTTCCTGATGTCAAAACTTTGATGGGCCGAGTCAAGGAAGGGAGGGAGTTCTTTTGGTAAATGCTCAACGATGTATTATCAAGCTCGTATTATTCTGGAATTCAATATCCTCACTACCAAGGCCTTTTATGGAGCCTGACTTTGGGACCAGCCCATGGTTCGACGCTACTGATCCCGCTCATCCACTAGTTGTGAATGCACTGCAGTGTAAGGCTTTCTACAACAAATGTCTGGCTTCCAGTAAGTAATTTGAGAATTCTGTACTCCGTAGTTTTACAAATAACACGAGGGAAAAAGCCCCTGACATACAAGTTGACGGTGGCTCAACGCCTGTTGGGGCAGCAGAGGCCGTTGCGAATCGATGCCCAGCCTGTGCCTGCAGAGCTGGCAGAAAGGCATGCATTTTCAGCCCATAAAGTGGCTGTAAATGAATCAGTGTGGGTATGTAAATTAGAAAGGTATGGAAGTCATGAGATTGGCCTTATTCTCGAAGGTTTCTCCAGCTGCTTAGAGATGTACCTCGGATTGTTCCGCCCAAGTGAATTAGAGGAATCTTCCACGAGGTGCGTTTATTGGAGAGGCAAGCATTGCAGTGGTGACTGTGTGCATGTAGAGCAAGTCGTTTGCTCACAGGTATTAGCACATTTCAATCCTTCCTTAGAACCCCGACGCTCCGGTGGATGCTTAACTCAGCTCGACAGCAACCTTTGGGATAAATAAGAAAGTTGAAGCTATAGGATATACTTAGGAATGAGTTTGTCCAAAAATACTAAGGTCTACTCCGTAAAAGCCACAGCGTAAAAGAACAGATGCTCTATAGTCTATTTATTTCGTTTGCACCCGAAGTGTCATGTCAACTGACCTCAGAGTTGGCAGTCACCGAGCTACTAACCAATCGACAGGCGACTAATAAAGGACCGCCTACTCGAGGCTAAATGGCGATAGCTAGCAAGTCTTGAGCTTTTGGCTAAAAAGGAAGATCCAAACCATTCAAAGACCTATGGATACGGGCGCTGAGTCAACCGGCCCTAGCCTAATGAGTTTAAAAACGGGCCAGAGGGCCCGGCGCTGTCAAGCAGCGTCAAAAAAAGCAAGCCCCAAACGCATATGCCTGGGATACGGGAATTGAAGTGTCATGTTATGCAGCTGCAAGCGCATTCAAAACACACAGGAACTTACACAAAGATCTTGACCCCGGCGGAAGCAAGATCGGTAGAAAGCAAAGAAGGATCATCAGGGAAGTGGAAGGACTTCCACGCACGCTTGGGTGCACTAAAGGGACCTGCAGAAGATAGAGCCGCAGCTGAGGACCCACCGAATACGGATTAAGCATGCGCCAATACACGTTCACGCTAATAGTCAAGTTTTTTTGGGGGTACTTGACGCTGTATGGGAAATGGATTAGTTTTGTGAGGAGACGGTGCAGAAGCGCTATTTGCCTCCTCACTCCTTTGGGCAGTTTGCTAACGGGCAGTACAACGCTGGAACTAGGAAGGCTCTAACAGTTATGTGCCCCTCGCGGTCATATGAGCGCGTTGTGAGATATGTATGAGCCCTTGCGCCACGGGTGACTTAATGGAAGACATACGTGCGGCCACAGCGGCGCGGTGTGGTGGTCAGTGGGCCAGAGAGCGCTATTGAGAAGCGCCTCCTGCTTTTCTCAACAACGCCCACTTCATCTGATGAAAGCACCATAGAGTA